AAATGTAGCATGGGAAAGTGAGCAAGCTGAGTATCACCGTACAGGTGTGGTAAAGTCTTAGTGGTATGAAGTGACAGGCATTGACCAGAAAGGAGAAAATCACCCCAAACTTTGAACACTGTCTTTTCTTTCTCTGCAATCCTCATGAATTTTAAAAAGAAACATCCATTTAGCTGCTTTCACTGCTAACTGATATCTCAAAAGGCAACTAGAGAATAGGATAGAATGTTTTTTTTGCTTAAAGGATGGAGCCAGACATTAAGAAATGTTGCTCCTAATCCTGGTTGTGCCAAGCTGTCTGTGACTCAGAAGAGCTGCTGATATTCTCCATGACAAACTTCCCATCTCTGTAAAAGAGGTTAATATAATATAACTTGTTCTATGTTAATATTTACAAAGCACTCTGAGATTTTTGATGGATGACAGCGCAACAGCACGAAGTATTTCCAGAAAACAGGGACCATTTGCTAGGTTGGGCTCTGATCTGATGACATTTGTCACTGAGAACTTCTCCACACTTTCATCTGAGGTGCTTCAGTCTTGATGTGTTTCCAGCAGGGCCTCTTTTAAAATAGCAGCACTTTTCTTTTGTGGGCAGAACAGTAAGAGCAGAGGCTATCTTGCACTGGCTAAGCCCACTTTTCCCTGGGGAATATCTAGTTTTAATCACCCTGTAGCAAATGAATCTGAGACCAGTTTCAACAAGGAACAGCAGATGTGCTCACCAAGACACAATCTTGTGATTATCCTATTTTTTATTATAGCTAGTCTTACAATTATCAGAAAATGCTCTCTTGTATGCTACGTGCTGTGCCACCCAAGTGGGAACAGCTACCGCCTTGAGGGATAACAATTTTCTTTGACCAAGTGATGACCCTTTTGGGGCAGAGACTGTGTTTTGCAGACCCGATGGTGCTGAGCACAGAAGCTTCCAGTGAGCTCTGGCCCAGTCACCCCAGCTGAGAGAACATGCAAGTGCAGTGGCCAGCAACTTCAAAGCTATGCTATATTTCTACCTGATGTGAATTCCTTAAACAAGCAAAAAACACTGGCTCCTTTAAAAAAAAAAAAATCAGTATTCTGCACATTTATGTGCTTAGGTAATCAAGAAATACTGCATTATTGTTCCTTGGACATTCTCAGAAGCTTTACCTCAATAGGGCATGAAATCAGGGCCACACATTATTCATAATTTCTGTCTTTAAAGCCAAATATGTGAGAAGAGATATCAGTAAAAATGTACCAAAGCTTGTGTGCTATCAAGGGACGTGGGTGTCTGCACAGCTGCCTTGAAAGGCACCCAAGAAAATCTGTATTACATGTGTATGTTCATCTTCGTTTCCTGTATATTGTTTTTTCAGTCCATGGATTCCTTTCCCAAATTGCACAGGACAAGGACAGTGCTGTGCATGGGAGTACTGGGAAGTGAATTTTGCAAACAAATCAAAAACAAGTGAAGGCACGCTCTTTGTCTGAAGAGCTCCATAAATTACAGACATTCTTAACTGGGAGTAGACCATGAACCCCACTGGTATCAACAGGAGATTTTGTAATGGTTAAAGGACTGAAGAACCTTCCAAATGAAACATTCACTAGGGCTTTCCTGGCAAAGAAGGTTACTAAAATATTTTTGAGGAAGTATTTCGAGGTGATATGCAAGAAAGGTTTCTGTATAGAGCTCTGTATTTTGTCCAGGTAATAATGGAAAGAAAACAGTGAATTGAATTCTGTATTAACTGTGAATCTGTGTCAAAGGCTGTAAATACTAAATAATCCAACTTATGTTTCCCTTTGGTAGGTCTATGTAGAAAAGCAGCAACAGTACTATGAGCTTTCAACTATTTCACCAATTCAGCCAAGGATTCAGTAGAAAGTGGACAAAAATCGTATGGAAGCCATCCTGAGATTCAGTCCCAGAGATGCACTTGATGGAGCCTGGGCTCTGGCTCTCCATCTGGGGTGTGAACGTGCCCTTACAGCTTGCACTGAAGCCTGCCAAACCAAAGAGAAACAGGTTCTGCAATTCTAGGATTGCCACGCTGAAAGATTGCTTCACAAGACAGTGTCATTTGCTCTACAAAGTAAAATGTCTGTGGATGGTAATATAGGTCCTGGAAAGCTCTGAGCCCCAAAAATCTTCATTTCTATAATGTGGAAAGATTCTGTGTTCCACAATACAAGGCTTCAAATGTAACTGTAATTTTTTGATCTGTCTCTTGGTCTGTAAGAACATACTCACAAATATCTCAGGTCTGACACCCCTGTGCTTTCCTCTTGAACACTGCTTCAGCTAAAAGGGGTTGTGTGTGAAGACATTTGTTCAATCTGAAAAGCTTATTTCCCTCATGATGCAAATTAATATGATATTTTCAGATAACCTTCTGAAGTGATACATCATTGTATCATCTGAAGCTGAATATATTCTGGTAATAGGCTGTGAAACATGATCATGGACACATATTTCCAAACTCTAAGAGACTTTACAAGGCTTTTTATCAGGACTAATAATAATTTTTCTGAATTCTACACAGTATTAGGGTGGAGACTAGAAATACTTTCTCTTTTCATGTGGAAAATGATGTAGCAAAGCCAAGAGTTATGCTTGTTATTGCTGAAAATGTATTCTTCCCTTGTTACTTACATACACATTTTAGTCTTCCAAAGTGGATTTTAAGAGTGTTGGGATTCTCACTAATACTGTTTAAGTGGAGAAATATTTCTCAGTCCTTCTTTAAAAAGCAGAATGTTTGAAAAATTGTAAAGCCTATCTAGGAAGATAAATGGAAATATGCAAGATTGGGCAAGCTGGACCCTGTGATCATGCCAGCTTTGACAGGGAACAGTAGTATTTTATGGTGGAATGCTATAATTTAGTTGTGTCTATTTTAGTTGTTAGTTGTTGGTTTTTTTCCTGGCATAAAGCTTCTTTCCTATAGGGCAGCTTTTTCAATGCTGACACAGACAATATCCCAAATCCCTTTATTGTCTCAACATTGGCACACACACGTAGCCATGTTGCTGGTATTGTGTACTTTGCATTAGAATAACCCATATTTTTAGGAGCATTAAGCGTTAAGCTCCCTGTCTATAACATAGTCATGAGGGCAGTGAAATGCTATGGTTTGTAATTTTTTAATTCTCAATAAGAAGGACCCACAGCCTCTTCAGTACAAAGCTCCATTTCTCCCTTCTTATAACAAGATAAATCAACCTTAAAACAACATTCACAGAACATGAAGAAAAGGTTTCTTTCTGCCATATGGCTTGGGCAACTGTAAAAACTAAAAAACTGTCAAAAGTAACAGCTAGTATCAAAGGAAAGGGGGCAAGCTAGGGGAACCAGGTGTCGCCAAAAGAGAACGAAAAGTATACAGTTTAGTGCACTAACTCTTTTCTTCAAACAGGAGGCAGTGTGGTCTGCTACAAACAGCTCCACAGCAGGAACCAGGAGTGGTGCGTTGC